TATAACCTTTAGTTTTTACTTTCCTCAATGATAAAAATCAAGAATTGTACATAAAMATTTTTCAAATAATCAATAATWATTGTTTAACTTTTAATAATCAATTCGAAATAAAAAAAGTATATGTTGATTTTGAAGTTGCTATACACAACGCAATACATGAAGTTTGGCCGTTGAGTGAAATTCGTGGTTGTCGGTTTCACCTAGGACAATCATGGTATAGAACAATTCAAAAATTGGGCCTTTCAACAGAGTATGAACAAAAAACAGAAATTGGTGAATATTTGACGTATATATTTGGTCTACCATTTCTAGATCCGCAATCAGTCGGCGATTGCTTTTCATTTGAACTAGCTGAGATACAACCAAATAATGAAAAAGTTAGAAAATTTATGGACTACTTAGTTGAAAATTATATTGAATATAATTCTTTATTTCCATCTCTAATTTGGACAGAAAAAAGCAGTAGTGTTAATCGTACCACTAATTCATGTGAATCTTTTCATTCAAAAWTTTATTCCCAATTTTATTCTGTGCACCCAAATATTTTCAATTTCATAGATGTATTGTATGGTATTCAAGCGGATACTGAAATTATTATAAGAAGCTCTAATGTTGAAAGACCGCACAAAAAAAATATACAAGAAAAAATACAATTTATAGACAGTCAAATTCATAAATATGTATAGTATCCAGATTTGAATAATATGTAAAAATTCTTGCACACAGATTTAAGCCTACTAAATAATATTAAAACAGTGCAGGTCAGTGAATATTTTTGATGGAATATTTGTATTTTAAATTATTTTAATGTATAACTGAATTTATTTTAATTAAAGTCGCGTACTTTTTGAACTTTTATATTTTGATGGAATATTTGTATTTTAAAATTTTAAAATTATTTTAATGTATAACTGAATTTATTTTAATTAAAGTCACGTACTTTTTGAACTTTTATATTTTGAGAACCACTTGTTGAAAATTATATTGGGAGCCAATCCAAGTCTTGACTAGGTACCTAACCTAATATTGGGAGCCAATTCAATGGTCACCTGATTTGAACAATATTTAATAAACTTATTATGGTATCTATAATAYATAAAATCAAAGGTCTAAAGCAGATGACCTGTTTATAATTCCACAGTCATCGTCCGAATTTCAATAAAAGTATTCATCAATAAATCAACAAGAGTAATATTATAAAGTGTTCAGACTACTTTTTATTACTTAAATGTTTAACTTTTTAACACGAAAATKTTGGATTAAGTTGGTTCATAAAGAATAAAGGCTATAATTATTTTGTTTAAGTAATATGCCGCATTGCCGTAATGGTTATAGAAGATAAAATAGTAATTTTATTGAGATTGGATATTATAATTTTAAACCGGTATTTTATATTTTATCAAATCCAAAATAACTGCAGTGATAAAAATCTTACAGTCTACATTTAATGGAATTGATAATATTAATCTTTAATATTTCATGGGTAACGACGTATAGTATAAGCTAGTATAAAGTACATAAATAATACAATTATTGCAATATAAAAAAATGCGGGTAAGTCGGTAAGTGGATGTCGCTCTGCTGTTCACAAGTGGGTTACTCGTAATGGATGATGGTATTAAATTTGAATTCAATGATATATAATCATTTTATACGAAAAACAATTCTGAGAAAGGACGGTTTGTCAGTCTAGAATATTTTATACTATAATAATAAAATTGTTATTAAAAAAAAAAAAAAATAGTTACCTATAAAATGAACTCCAAATTAATCAAATAAAATTCATTATATCACCGACTCAGTCAGACAGTCAGTCATATATACAATTTATTATAAAGTAATAATGTAATTGATAATGACATCAATTATTACAATTTATTTGAATAAAAAGTTTACTCTAGAAATTTCAAGTACCCACGAATAATATTTTTAAATTACGACAATATAACTAAAATTGTTATACTTGGTTATTTAATATATTGTAATTTGATCCAAAATTGAACTTAAAATAACTATAAAAACTGTGTTTTTATAGGTTTTAGATTTCTTTGTTTCAGAATTGACTAATTATGTGAAACCCCTTGTTTAACATTTTCAATCCTTAACTATAAAAGTTAAATGTTTCATAAAATGATAACAACAAAATAATTTGAAAATTTYCAATTAAATAAATGTTGTTACAATTTGAACTTGAAACGGTTATAAAATTAAAACGAGCCTATATGTATTATTAATATTTTCCAAATGCTATTATATCAACTCATAGGGAACTTTATATTAAATGTTCAAGTGTTTTGACCAAATTAATAAAATTTTAATGACATTAATAGAATAAAAAACTAAAAAAAAAAACGGAAAATTTAAAATATCGATTAATATTTTAAAAATTGTTGAAGTATTTTGAAAATTTTATCAAGTATAGGGATTGAAAAATAAGCATATGGTGTAAATTTCAAGTTTCTACAGTTATTAGTTTTTGAATAACAAAATAAGAATATCGGTACAAGATAAATTGAGTAAATATCCAATGTAATTCAAATGTTCATAAAAATTTA